ATGTGTCCTATTGTAAGGGATCCAAAATTGAAACAAGAGTCGTTTTGTTATTTAAGAAGTAGTGTTGTAGCCTGCACTACCCGAAGTAATCTTGAAAGCAAACTAAAGCTTTTGTTTTTTAACTGCAGTTAAGTATAAGGGTTGTATTTTAAACAGTTATATCCGCACAAAGTATTTATCCTTAGATAAATATTTACTTTTATAAAACCGAATAAAACAATAATAAGCATGACTTCCTTTTTATAACTTGTTCTTTCATCTTTCATCGGATAATGACTATACGTTTTGTAGATACTTATTTCCCCTGGTTAAAGTTTTATTTTTTATTTTACTAAGGAGGTAATAGATTTATTGTTTGTTAGCTAAATAGGACATAAACATTCAACAAACTGAAACTGATGTTAAACGCATACGTATGTCGTAGAACGCAGGGTCTCGTGTATAAAATCTGAGGAGGGCGAGAGAGAAAAACGGAGTCTAGACAACACAACTGATCTGATGAGTCTAGCCTATTACCATCTGTCACTTACCGACTTTCTATAACACCCTGTCGACCCCAAACTCAACCCGTGTCAACAGCTCTCTTTAAAATACCTGTCATAAGTGACACCTGTTAGCCTGGTGTTCATTAACCAAGCTCTCAATAATCTATCGGTTAAGGTGGGGTTCATCAATTTATTCACCAACAAGGGAGCGGTTCGTGAAACCATGGTGTATATCAATAACGCCTGCTTTATGCTTGTCAACATTTAATAGTGATTTAGAACGTAACTTATTGGAAATGTTGAAGTACCCAACCGGAAAATTGAAGAAACCCATCGAAAAATTGAAGTTACCCATTGGAAAAGTTGTAGTAATCCATCAGAAATGTTGGAAAAGTTGAAGTAGCCATCGGAAAAGTTAAAATGGAAAAGTTGGAGTAACCAACCGAAAAATTGAAGTAACCCATCGGAAAAGTTGGAAAATTTAAAGTAATCCATCGGAAGGCTGATTTAACCGACTGGAAAAGTTGAAGAATTACTGTAGCCTACACATCTGATGAAGTTGCAGGCAAATATACAATATTTTGTTTGGTCTGACCATCCGTTTCCCCCAACCTTCACAGAATCTGCTATCTTTTTTTAACGACTAAATTAGTAACAGATGCCACAGACTTTGTATCTATTTCTTGCTACAAGCGGATGGCGTACCAAATTAATTACGTTGCGTTGGACTTGACCTTCATTACATGCTAATTAGGCCTCATCACCCCCCCCCCTAAAACCCCCCACAAAAAACAACAAATTACATATATACATAATCCCTTGCATATTAGTTTAAGGGAATATATTTCTTGAAACTTTAAACTTTAAAAAGTCTAAGTATTTGAGGTCGGCGTGGTCGGGTTGGTTAAGCTCACGGTTGTTAAACCGACAAGTCCCGAGTTCGAACCCTGGGCAGATAGGCTCGATAGCTGGGGACAGCCATTAATCTAGGATAGACAAACCCATAAAAAACTGCTTCCTTGAGGTTTGGAAGCAAATCCAAACAGAAAAGCGGGCAATCCCTTTCAACACTAAAAATTAAGAACGTAGAAGAAGGAGAATATTTAATCGTAGCTGTTGACACGCATTGAAACTAAATATTTTTCGGCGCTTGAATTTTAAAAAAATATATTTCTAAAAAAAACGAAATGGACTGAAAATAATTTAATGGAAGAAATTGCCTATAACAATAAGTAGAAAATCAAGAAATATTAACTATACTTCATCTGCCCAATGGATCGCTAGGTCTAAAGAGGATTCTTTACTTTTTTTACTCTACCCTAGCAGTAGTTATGTAAAATAAAGGTGAAAATGAGTGTACAAAACTGTTGCCCGGATAATGAAACAAAAATCCTGACTCTAAATGGTGCCCCACTCGCATTGCGTTTGTTTACATTTTAAATGAAACTTTAGAGAGAAAAAAATGTATAAAAAATGTTTAACTTACACATTTTTTTATGTAGATCTATCTAACTATAAAATGAAATACAGCGAACTCGAACATTAAAATAATAAAAAAAATATATCAAGAACTTAATTGAATGTTCTTTAACGTTTCAGAATAATTTATGCAACAAAGTATTTTCGAAAAAGCGAACAAAAAAAAAACTATCATACATCCAAAACACTTATTTTGCTACTCCGATGAGGCGTGACGTGTTTGAACCACAACGACACCTCTGTGTGAACCTAATGAACCAATGGCTAGTAAGCTGCCACCAATTTGAATCTGTTTTGATCTTGTTTACTGAAAACCCCATTAGTCAAACACTCCGAAAATTGACCCGTATGTAAATAGACGAATTAGAATACAAAACACGTTTCACTTACTGTAGCTAGTGTTAACAATAAAATAGTCACATGTTTTACATAATTTTTTACGGCTCAGTCAATAGCATCAATTGTTATACTGAAAAACAAATTAGAGTTGTAAAAAATATACGCAAAAGAAAAAAATCGAAAACTTAGCTAGGTCAAAGATCGACGCAAATATTATCTCTATTCGAGATTTTTAGGTGAAAAGAGGGTAGTTCGACAAATAGACACAAAAGAGAACAGTTTCGAAATGATTTAAAAAGCCCATTAAATATTTTAAAAATCATTTAAAATGTTAAAAAATAAATCTATATAGGCCTATATAGAAAGCAATGTATATGACGTGTCTGTCTGTTGTTTTTTTTTGTCTTTTATGCATTACTACAACTTTAATCAGATCGCCATAAAACATTGGGAAGCTGTTGAGAATACTCCTGGGGAGGTATCTGCCAATATTTTTTTAAAAAGTTCGTTTGCTGGCGCCCTGACAGGGTGCAATTTTGCACCCCGGGATATTCTATGAGCGCTATGACCCCTATTTCGGTTGTTTTAAATAGCGCGATAGACTATGGATACAATGGGACATTATAGTCGTTCACTAAACTGTATTAGGCGCGTCCGCCAACGCCCCTTAGGGTGCAGTTTGTCGCCCAGGGCTATCCCTTGAAAGCGCCCCTACGGTAATGTAATCGGGGGCTTCCGGGAGCGCCCCTTTATGTCCATGACAACTGGGAGGTCTCGAAGTGTTTTACCTCACTATTATGGCTTTTTAACATTACGTAAACCCGAGCCCCTATAAATATAATCCAAGCCCGGATATTTACATTTAAATAACTCAGTTTAGAAAAGAAGGCCACACGTCTAAGAATATAGGATTGGTAACGTATTGATGGAACCGTCCCAATATTGTTGACATTACTAAAGATTGAATATAACTGATGTTTTTGGTATTTCCAGTAACCAAGCAAAAAAAAAAAGTCAAAAAACAATTTCTTTGTTTTCAAATTGAAAACCAAAATTGCTAAACTTAAAAAAATTGTATCCGCGATGTTTTGAGTACAAATTACTATTAGTTTTTTATGAAGTGGGGTTTTCAGAATATCGATCACGGAGTTACCGTAGAGACTACACATGAGTTTTTGTTATAACTTGTACTTGATGAAAATAAATAGTAATGTAGCCTTAAATTATTTTTTTTTTTAGAGTTCACTGGATTTGCATCTTCTATAACATTGATTCTTAAAGTATTAAATTCTCAATTATATTCATACATAAGATTTTATCTTTTATTATTTTTGATTTTTGACGGTCGCTTTGATTGCTTAATCTTATAAAAGCGGAAGTGATCTCCCCTAAATTTTCTCGAAATTCTTACATGACACTACGGGGTATGGCAACTCGGGATAAAGACATGATTTTTAATCACGTTTTAAATACTTATGCTTTTTAAAATAGAATCTCGTAGAAAAAAAGAATTGCGTACACAGTGAACAGCAAATAATGTGTGCTTAATAGTGCGGAACATTAGTACTTCATAAATTCATATGCGTTTTTTGAGAAATCGGGAATAGCGTATTGTACTACTTCCGGTCAACGGAAATTACTCAAAACAGAATTAGATCTCTTACTTATATGTAAAATTTTATTTATCTATCACAAACAGTACTTAAATTATAGGCTTTTGAAAAACCGAAAGTAGAATAAATTCCACTTCCGGTTACCGGAATTCGTTGAAAAGTTCATACAGAACTACAAATTTGATGTAATACATATATGAAATTTCATCAACCTAGCTGTCATGGACTGGAATCCCCAGGGAAAAAGATAAGTGGGCCGGGAAACATGGAAAAGAACGGACGAAGAAGAGGCGAAGACAGCTGGGATCACATGGGCACAGATTAAGGGAGCAGCCCAAAACCGAGTCCACTTGAGATGTGTAGTTGCAGCCCTTTGCTACCAAGGGGACACAAAGGAATGACATATATGAAATTTCATCAACCTAGCTGTAATGGTACTCAAATTATCGTGATCACAGACACATACACACACACACGCACAAAATTACAAAGCCCAGTTTTCCGACTCTATGAAGCGTAAAACGCCGCGATTTTGATAAATCTGGATTTAGAATTTTTGCCTGATTGGTCCCCTATACTCCAAATATGATGAAGTACTGAGATGTAAAACTATGAAACCTGTCCGAAAAAATGTGTGATTTTTGTTCACGATTACAATACTTCCTCTATACTCTGTATACGAGAAAGTAAAAAAAAACATTTTCTTTTATCCATGTCAACATAATGATGGTAGGATTCTCGTCAGCTCGGCCATGTACATTAGAGTCACGCAATGTAATCTACAAACGGAAGTCCAAGATCAAAAGTAGAAAACTACAAGTCAGACAAAAATATTATAAAAAGTATTTAATTACTAAAAGAATCTTGGCATCGTCCAGGCTGCTAGAAAATCATTTATCCGACCGATCGCATTAGCTTAATCCGCTTACGATGTTCTTTTGTGTGGAGTCCAAGTTATAATTAACTACCTTAATCGAAATCACAAAAACCACCAGATTGGTCATAATGACCTACTTTTTAAAAACAAAACCAATATAAAAGCAAGAGGTCTTAGACTTAAAAGTTGATAGCAGCTGATCTTACAACAAAAATAATACGAAAACCACAAGACTCTCAGCCACAAGTTTTACAAACCACAAGACTACAAGAGACGCTCACCATGAAGTTGTTGATGTATCTAGCCGTGGTAGTCACGGACATTCTTCTCTGTCAAGGTAAACACAAACACAGCTCTAGTGTCTTGAGTTGATTGTTGATGTTTTGTTGTCAACTAAACACAGCTCTAGTCTCTTGAGTTGATTGTTGATGTTTTGTTGTCAACTAAACACAGCTCTAGTCTCTTGAGTTGATTGTTGACACAGCTATAGTCTATTGATTGTTGATGTTTTATTGTCAGCTCAACACTAACACAGCTCTAGTCTCTTGAGTTGATTGTTGATGTTTTGTTATTCTATTACTTCCCATGACCACATGCAAGATATATAAAAGGCTAGGCTACTCACCTCAACTCTATCATTGTGAACACATTTCATATTGTATGTGGGCTTATGACAAATATTGCTGCGCTGCCATTCCAACTATCCAGAATCCCTCGTTTCGAATCACAAGGGAATAATATCGAAGTTTTGATCAATATAGACATTTAAATAAGTTAATTTCCGTTTTTCGAACCTGACAGTCCATGGAGCAAGTGAAGCAGATTTCACCTGTTTCTGAGATTGAATTACTCATTAAACATTAACTTAAGGTTTACTATATTTGATTACATAAAGGTTAGATAAATAAGCAGAGATACCCGATTCACTGATTCTCTTTAGTCACGGCTCATACAAACTCTAACACATTCTAGCCACCAATGCGCACACCACAGAGAAAGTTTGTTTTATTTTCTTACCTACAGTGCGTTTAACAGCTGATCTGTAGAAGGTGGTTTTGTAAAAATACACAATCTTACGAACAAATGTATGCATTTTGTGTTTCAGCAACCGGTGAAGACTACGAAGAGACCGCTTGCCTTGATTGTCAACAGTTGTTGCTAAAACAAAATAAAATCATCAACCAGCTGAGTCAAAAGTTCCAAAAGTTTGAGGTAAATGTTTTTAATTAGAGTGTTTCTTTGAGGCATCTCTTAGGTAATCCCACCCCCCCCCCACCAAAGGAGAAAAAGGTATGAAAGAAGCACTGATTACTTACGCAATCTTTATCTGATTTCAAAAGAATTAGATGGTTTACGCGTACTAGTAAATTCAAAAAATGGTTTTATTGGAGGGGTAAGACCATTTTTACAAATACTCGATATGGTTCGCAAACTATGTCTATTTGCTGACCCCCCACATCTAACAAAATATTCGAGTGTTATGATCGTGTCTCTTTCAGGCCAAGCCGGCTACGGGAAAAGAATGGACACTGGCGTTTCGTGGCACAGCTTACGTAGGAAAATCTGTTTACGCCGCCTATAAGGACGGTACTGGGATCCCAAGTGAGGTGGAACCCGGATGTAAACAGGTGAGTTTATCAGATAATGTTGGCTTGGTAAGGCAAAGTATTAAGAACTAAAGGTTTTTACTACACCGTTGTGAACAATGATGCAGAAGAAGGAGTTTAGTCCTTAATATTTCAAAAAGCTACTTGTAAAAATATCTAAATTACAACAAACTATCCTGGTCTTGGTCAAAGCAAATCAAATGTGGCCGGCAGTGAAAAAATTTTACTTGAAGGTCTAAATACATCTTTTATTTTTACTTCTTGATTATTGATACATGTTAATTATATTTCTTTAAAGTAACACTTTAAAGTTTTATTTCAAAGACAATATTGTCATATTTTACATAAATTCAACTCATTTTATAAGTTACAAATATAAATATATATTTTTCTTAAAAACCTATAAAGACTAATTAAAACGTTATTACGTCTTTCAGGTCACCGCCCCCCTACCCTGCAACAACCACTACAGGAACTCAGAAGTCTTCGACAACTGGGACAGAGTTAATGAGGTCGCCTTCGTCGTGTACTCAAACTACAAGAGGGTCAAGGAGATTTTGTTTGATGGCACAAGTACAACATACATGACCTGGTTCGACAAACCCAAGGTCAAGTTCTCAACCTGGACCAAGGTCAAGACAGAAACCACTAACATCTTTGGCATTGCCGGCGATATCCGACCCAATCTATCCAGGGCTTTCTTCATCAACAATGTCTACGGTGGATGTCCGGCAGACAAGGGATGGTTCGTGGCTGTGGACAAGTCAGAGACCGGCTCATGCGCGTGGGAGAAAGCCGATAGGCTACCGGTCTTCAAGTACTCACGACAGAGTAGCCCTGAGAACTGGAACACTGGTGACGTGGCTAATGCTGACATGTTCGCCATCTTCGTTAAATTTTACGACACTCCTTGAAGTGGTTGATTTAACGATCCAGATGTGGTCAAATTAATTAATGCTGGATAAATAAATCATTTAATTATCGAATATTTGTTGTATGCTCTGTTATTGTTGCTGTTAAACTTTGTGTATTTTTGTAAGCTAAAGCTGATTGTAATAACTAGATAAATATACCCAGTGCTGCCCGGGACGTTGATAAAACATACCATCTTCACTAAAGTGTTTATTTGTGAATATGGTTGTGATCGTTTCACAACGAATTACACAGTAGCATTGTGATGTTTGGTAATAATAACACGCATATTCGCAAATCAAACCCAATCACGCCTTAACTAACAATTTAACTAAAATTTTATCTGCCTTAACATTTACACTTGGCCAAATGCAAACGCCTACAAGTAACCAGAAACTATCATGAGCCCTTATAACCACCATTTATTAAAACCCTACAGCTGGACAAAACAAACCAGTTCCTTCACTGTTTTTTTTAAACATTGAACCTCTAAGTAACATCAGAGAGGGACTACGGTAATATACAAACGTAATTAATACTCGTGCTTCGCTGCAGTGTAAACATTTGAAAAGTCAATACCATCGGCCCAGCAAGTCTGGCCATCAGATCTGTCAACGGTCACTGCGTGGCTCAATCTGACAGGAAACTTTAGGAGGAAGCAGGGTTGAGAGAGCGTTCCTGTTTAAAGACACCTGAATAAGAAGGTCCACCCATGTCTAGAAGAGGCAGAAGGTCCGCCCCTGTCCAGGCAAATGTGAATGTCCAACCCTGTCTAGAGGAGGGAGACAGTCCACCCCTGTCCAGGTACATGTGAATGTCCACCCCTGTCAAGATACATGTGAATGTCCACCCCTGTCAAGATACATGTGAATGTCCACCCCTGTCAAGATACATGTGAATGTCCACCCCTGTCCAGATACATGTGAATGTCCACCCCTGTTTAAGTACATATGAATGTCCACCCCTGTTCAGGTACATATGAATGTCCACCCCTGTCAAAAGTGCAACATAAGTTAATTTCTCTAAATTTATAATAAAGCACCAGTATTAAAGAAACTATCAAGAAAATAATGGTTGGCGACTTATAAAATGTCAGATCTTGTAAGGATATTCAATACATTATTATTTTTTAAAAAAAGATCTAAATAATTTACTATATTGAACATTAATGAAATATTTGTCATAAATTACCACAAATAGCATTTCTGGAAAATTATTTCATGCAGTTCTGAATTTGGAATATAACGAAACACATGAGTATTGTTGATAAACGTATTAACCATTCATGCAATCAAACATAATAAAATATGAAGGCTGCCTGTATATAAAAAAAACTTACATCAGTAAAGGTATACATTTCAGTAGGCCTACTCTACGTACTAGAGAAAGCCAAGTAAATAGTCAAGTCAATTTTGATGTATTAAAAATCATAATAATATATAGAAATTCATATCTGAGGTTTAAATAAGAAAGATTGTGTTAGATTAATCAGATTGAACCATATATATTTTTTTTTAGTTTAATTCAGTAATGACCTTTTTTCACTAAGTTTAGATTTTAACTCTTGTTTTCTGCTGACAGAAAATTTAAAAATTTAGAAACAACAAAAATGTAAAATTATTCTATTTTACAATTAGGGCGTTTAACAGATGTATGGCCCTAATTGTCACTAATGATGTTTAGTCAAAGATCAAAGAGAAAACTCGAACTATTTTATGTAAATTAATTACTGCTTGTGCCAAGAATTATTCCTATAAAAGAAATGGTACCCCAATGATATCTACAGACTACAAACCCAAGGTTAAAACCACAGTAAAAGCCATGAAGTTGTTGACGTTTCTAGCCATGGTAGTCACGGACATTCTTCTCTGTCAAGGTAAACACAAACACAGCTCTAGTGTCTTGAGTTGATTGTTGATGTTTTGTTGTCAACTGAACACAAACACAGCTCTAGTGTCTTGAGTTGATTGTTGATGTTCTATTGTCAACTAAACATTGCTCTAGTGTCTTGAGTTGATTGTTGATGTTTTGTTCTTCAAAAATTAGCCAAATTCGTTAATTAAATTTAAACTTAATTTGTTTATAATGAAGATTCTCAGCCTTGACAGTGGAATAAATTTAAATAGATTTAAACTAACAATGCAATGTTATCTAATTTGTAATTTAATAAGACATTAGTCGTTAAATTTTAAAGAAAAGATCACAAAATTCTATCATTAAAAAGGAGACAACAAGATTAAATACTAACGATCTCTATGACAGTAGGACGTCGACAGTGTACTGTTTAGCGACGAAAACGTGTATTAAGGAGAGCAAATTAGTTTTGTGTCCTTATTTTTAACAGCCTTTTATAAGAAAGACTATTTTTTAATTTGTTTTATTTCAAGTTTTTTTTTTTACTTCGAAACATTAACCCTAGCTACCAGTTTGCCCACGATGAAGTGTTTCCGTGAGCTCTCCATAAGTTTGTATATTTTATATCTAATTTAATGTACTGCTAGTTTTGTATTTAATCTCTGTCGGGATTTTACCACAGTGGTTGCAGAAGACTACGAGGAGTCCGCCTGTCTGGACTGTCAACAACTGTTGTTGAAACAGAATAAAGCCATCAACCAGTTGTCAGTCAAGATTCAACGCCTTGAGGTCGGTTAGGTTGTTTTATTATTCGTTATTCGAATTACTAATTTTCAAAAAAAATTTATAACTTACCAAAACGTAACTTTTGAAGCTATTTAAATAGAATTTGAATTAGGCCTATGAGCCGTCCATAAATGACATCACACTCCTAAAGGGAAGGGGAAGGGGGAGCGGGGGCGGAATTTTGTGACGACGTGTGACGAGAGGGAAGGGGGGTTCTGAAATTGTGATGTTACACTAATGAATTTTCAAAAATTAATGTTAAAAGCTGAATTTGTGCAGTTATTTCGCGTTTAAGAAAGCTGTTTTTTTTTGCAAATTATATTAGAAATTGATTATTATACAGTATATACATTATAGACGAAGGTCAGTAAACATTTTGGAAAAAAATCGATGTTAAGAAAATAATGAAACTTCTATTTTGGGGTGGAGGATTGGGTTGAGGTTTGACGTCATTTCAGGGGTGGGGGGGGGGGGGGGGTCTGGGTTTTTGTGATGATGCATGATAGTGAGAAATGGGTGTGGGGTAAAAATCGTGAGAAAAGCTTGACGTTATTTATGGATCTCCCCCCCCCCCTTAATTTACGGAAGAAATGCTGTCTATTATGAAATAGACTGACAAAATTAATGTGACCATTCATCTATTTACCATCAGTCTAGGCTAGGCCCAACTCAGGAGAGGGATGGACACTGGCGTTTCGTGGCACAGCTTACATAGGAAAATCTGTTTACGCCGCCTTTAAGGACGGTACTGGAATCCCAAGTGAAGTGGAACCCGGATGTAAACAGGTGAGTTTTCCGGTAGGACATAAGGCAGAAATCTAAATGTAACTTTAAAAAGCCCCTCCTCCCATGGACAGAAGGCCATCTAAAAGATACTTGACACAGTCATCGTCCCACTACCAGCATCAGATACTTCACACAGCTGACTGTTTAACTTCAAAGGGAGACTGAACAAGACTATCTTTTCTTTTGCTTTAAACCACAAAACATTTTACTCCGTGATAATTACTCTATTAAATTAATTATGTTTACGTTTACAGGTCAGCAAATCATACCCTGCAACAACCACTACAGAAATACAGATGTGTTCGACAAATGGGACAAAGTAAAGGAAGTCTCCTTCCTCCTGTACTCCAACTACCAGAAAGTTAAGGAGATTTTGTTTGACGGCACCGATACAACCTACATGAACTGGTTCGACAAGTCCAGAGTCTATAACTATAAGATTTACCATACTTAACCAAGCTAGAAATTTCTTGTCTAAAATAAAAACTTCTAAAATAACCATTCGAATAAAAAAAAAACCTACCTGTTTTAGTACGAATAGGATTGTAATATTTTATAATTCTACCAGCGTGTGCGTCACTGCAATCTCAGAAAAAAAAAGAAATTTAAGGACACTCCTAATAATAACCCTAATTTACAACCAAATAAACATACAAGCAATGATTTATTAAAATCAAACTTCGATAATAGAAGTATATTTGCAATAGATCTAAAAATACATCTTGATCTCCATTTACCGGAATGCTAAAAACGTCAAAGTTTCTTATAAGGATTTAGATTTTTGCACGATTACAATGTACCCTTTATATTCCGCATACAATGAAGTAGTGAGGTGTATAACTGTCAAAATATCTTTAAATTATTCAGCGAGATTACACTATTTCAGGTACACATTGTATACGAGGAAGTATTGAGGTAGATTGTAATGACTGACGAGAAGCCGCGTTGGTTGTTAACAGTCTTTATTATGTACAGACGCCATGATGCAAAGAGAGGAAGTGGCGAGAGAGAACTATTTATAGATAACAACATGTAAGGGACATCACTCAAGATAACAATATAAATATAATACTAATACAGAAGAGTGAGTTCCCTTGACCTCACAATTATCCCAATCTATTACATCCCTTTACCCTTAGAACACAATAACACATCTCTCAATAGAACAATTGATAGTATCCTAAAATCACCAATTATATTGTAACATGAACACTATGGTAGATTACATCTTACAAACAATGCACAATATGCTACAACATAATCAAGATACAAAACAATGATGTCAAAGTCCTTTTGACCTTTAAAATCATAGGTCTAACTTATTTGGGACCTTGATTGTCCTGTATGACCTTCTCAGTGGCTTTTGATTTGGTGACTCAATATTCTGACCATTTGGATTCTCTATCTCAGGAGGTCTAGGATTTAAATCATTAACTCCAGAATTTACATTTTCTGACTCCAGACAACTTGGTTCACTCATATCCACAGAACTTGGTTGTGGAACAAACTGAGTTGGTGTGAACTGATCAGATTTGGTGGGATTGATAGATTCACACTTATTATCTGCACAAGTTATTTTCAACTGGTCTGCATGTCTACGGACAATAAGTCCATCATT